CCACATTGGACTAGAGTATGAAAAATGCTGGTGCGTTTCCGTGCTATTGTGTCTAAAGGGGTGGATAAGATACATCGCATCACATTGACACGGGTGTCATCGGTTTGCCACTCTTCCTTACCCTCATCTAGTAACTCTAAGGGTTCCTCATCCAAAGGATCAACTTCTAGGTCAACATCCTTTCTATCAAGTGAATTCTCTAATCACTGGTCAATGGTCAAGGTACACTGAGGGCATTGTGAAGCAATATGACCCTTGTCATGACAACGGAGAAACTCCATGGAAAAATTGTCTTGGCGAGAACCTGTGAGTGTAGAATCTCGACCCTTAGTGGTATTACCTTTCAAGTTGAGGTAATTGTTATCCCTGGATGTGACAGGGCCTAACTGGGTGACGCCTCGAGACTGATCAAATAGGACTGACCTTGATGGTTGAGATTCTCCGGTTTGAGAACGCGTTCGACGCTGAAAGGGTAGCCTAAGGTATTGTTCAATCTCTAAGACTTTATAATATGTTTCCTCAGCCGTTTTAGGAGAGTGTAAGTTAAGCTCTCTCTTAATCTCAGGTCATAAGCCATTAATGAATTTTGTAACTGTTACCCAAAGCTCTTCCTTTATGTCACATCTCAGAAAGAGCTCTTCAAATCGAGCTAGGTAATCAGTCACACTCAAGGTCAATTGATGCAAGTTCACCCATTTGTCCAATAGTTGGCGCTTATAGTAACTAGGGAGATATTTATCTCGCAATCTTTGTTTCATCTCAGCCCATAAAGTAATAGGTTGTCCCTCTAGGCGCCCTTGGTCTCGTTAGACTCCCTGCCAATATCTCTTAGTCGAACCAATGAGTTTTATTTTGGCAAAACGAACCCGATGGTTGTTGGACATATCATTCCAATCAAAATAGTCATCCATGTTATCCAACCAATCTAAGAAAGCAACAGGATCTAACCTACCATCAAAGCTAGGAGAGTCCACTTTGACTCTTTGTGTGATATCCCTAGATTCTTCGTGGACATGCCTATATCGAGGATTATGGTAACACGGAGGGGGAGACCTATGGTATCTGGCACGTGGGTGGAAGGGCTCACGATAACCATCCATATCACCCTCTGCTAAATAGTCAGACATGACTACCTCAGTGGGATCCTCCTGAACATTCCTACAACCTACGTTTCATCCAAAAGCGGTATTAGGAGGTGTCTTCCTATTTGGACGCTATATTCGGCTCCCCTAAGCTACTTGCGGAGTGGGTAGGACACCTTGACATGAGTCAGTAGGATCTATTGGGAGAGGCAGGTGCCGAACATTGGGTACCTGGTTAGACTTAGGTGAAACTTGTGACTCACTCTAGTCATAGTCTATTGGTCGGTTTTCCATAAATTTAGTCAATTGGGCTAGTTGAGTAGTAACTTGAGAAAGTTGTTGCTCATTCCTTTAACTTCCTCACGTAACAAGTCTGCTGATTGTTTAGTATCGGTCATATCAATGGTGTGAGTCTCAAATTTTTGTTCTAATGCAGTATGGGATTCTGAAAGCTCACGAAGAGTCATAGTGAATGTAATGTAAATTTGGGTTAATGTAAATGGCTGACTATACTAAAAATTAAACCAAGTAATAAAAATTATAAATCAATGCAAATAGTCACACATAAGAACAAACTTATTGTAAAGAGGCTCAAATAAACGTGAGACAAGCAACAATGGATTTAACAAGAAATTGGGTAAGCTAAGTTATGAAGGTGGTGTGTGGGAACAACAAACAAAGAAGGTTATGAAGGTGGTATGCAGGAACAACAAACGAAAAAAGTTTAGGATTTTTCTTTTTGTTTAACTTATCAACAAAAATAATACTAGTCACCAATTCTCAACAAAAAGAACTCGTACCTAGTGTTAGATGCAACTCCAAGAGGATGCTTGACAAGTTAGGGGATGATCCTACAAAGTGTAGAAATTTCTAAGGTATTTCTATTTTTTGAAAATTCTGGAGTGATATTTCTATAATTTTTTGAACCTGTTGGGACGTTTCTACAATACTGAAATTTCTGGATGATACTTCTGTAATTTACTAGAACTTTTGGGGTGATTCTATAATTTGTGAGAACTTCTGGAGAGGTTCCTATAATTCTGGAGCTTTATGGGAGTGAAAGGGTTAAAACCAATGTCTTATTTCTTAACACGATGGAACGAGGAAAAAGATGGGCAGCAATGAAGTCGAAGCAGGTCAACAACGAAAACAGTGCGTGATGAACGCGCACGATGAATTTTTTTTTTTATCGATTTTTCTTTTATGGAACGAGACCAGAACAGTGCGCGATGAAAAGTGCGCACAATAATTTTTTTTTTTCTAGAAGAGGAACAGGAATGATGAAAAGTAAGAATCTGCCAAAGTTTTTTTTTTTACTTGGACAGTCGGTGAATAGTGCTGATGAACAGTGATTTCGCGCGAACAATTTTTTGTTTTTCCGATGACTGGCGTTGTTGAGATTTTTTTTGATTTATCCAAATCGAAATTAGGCTCTGATACCAAATTGACATAGATCGTGTTAGGAAAGAATTAAAGATGAGAAGGGAAGAAAAAATGGATGAAAAAAATAAGAAAAAGGAGATGAGAATAGAGAGAATTTTAGAAAGAAAATTCAATATCAATAATCAATAATCAAAGTTTACCAAAACAAATAACATATCTCTCATATATATATATATATAGGGAGATCACAAATCCTAAAAGAATTCTAAAAGAAATAAATAGTCATAATGACAACTAAACTTCTGAAAAGTATAATGACAAATAACTCCTAATCCTTACGCCTACGCCTACTATAACGAAATATAATCCGATTCCTATCACAAAGTCTTCTTAATAAGTCAATAACGTTATTTCTTAACTTATTAACAATGTAGTCCTAGCTAGATTTGTGGAAAACAATGAAACATGCATCGCTCTGGACAATTGTGCCACCTTCCCACTCTCCATACCACGTATACTGGATCCCACGTCTTTGTAACATCCAAATCATATTTCCCAAAACAAAATTGTGGATTTTTTTTTTTCTGGTGGAGATCAAATATTATGCCAATAGAACCGAACACTTGCCACCAATTTTCCTATTCCCCATGGAAAATAGTATGTTTTATATAATATAATTGTTTGTAAAAAGATAAATTTAAATATTTTTTGTAGCAGAGTAAATAAATATTCTTTTTTATTTTGACGAAATTACCTTTTTCTAATCAAAAAGACTTAAAAACTGAACTAGGAACAGAGACTAGTTCAAGTCTAGCAGCTCCCAATTATATCTTAATTCTAACTTGTTCATATTAGTTCAAAATTAGATTCTATTAGAAATTAATCGAACGTTGGTATATATGATATTTCACAAATTTAGATTCGACAAGTTAAGTAAAAATGCGTACCAATCGATATTTGACTAATAAGGTTTGAGTCAAAATTTGATCAATTAATAGATTTATATGAGCCAGTTTTTTATCCCAACCATTCCCAACTCTTTCTACATTCTACCAATACGAAAATGGTAAAGATTGGGAGGAAAAAAAATAGAAAGAATCAATGGGTGCAAAAAAAACGTCTTCTAAAATTATGGAGTTAATCAAATTGAGCCTATCGAATTTTGGTATATTCAAGCTCAATTTGCTAACTTGATAATATATTTATGTACTATGTGCTCGAATTCAAGCATAAACTGGAGTAAATTCAAAAACCACACATCAAATAATTCTCGAAACATTCAATCTATTTATTTGAGAGTATTATTTTATCATTTTTTATCACCAAAATCTACATGTTACAAGAATCAAATTTTGGGAAAGAAGGTTTTAGAAGTCTTTCGTTCTCATCATTCTAAGTCATCCTATGTAACCACCCCCTACACCTCAAAATTAACTACCAATTGCTTGATTTTTATAGAAAAATTATTTGCATCACCATGTAATTTAATGTCATCCTCGATTCCAATTTCAAAGTGACGGAATTGGAAAAGAGGAATAGATGAGGAAGGGGCAATAAATCTCGTCCAGTCTCTTTACTATTTATATATTTGAAACAAATTGAGCTTAAAACTACTAAACCAAAGGATATGCTAATTTTACAATTCCAGTGAGTTTAAACTAGTTTTATGCTAATGGCCCTATCTAAAATATGTTCAAAGGAAGAAGATATCATACATCGAATATTCATGTACAGGAAAAATCAAAGAGCAATATTATTGAGATCTAACTTATGAACATAGTTTTTTGATTTAATTCACAGTGACATTTGGATTCGCTTTAGACCCCATCAAATATTAGAACTTAGTGTTGATCCAATAATTCTTATAAAACCACGTCCTTATATCAACAAATTATTTCTGATTGTTAGGTGTAAATAGTATTACTCAAAATCAAATGGTCACGACGCCGAGACAAAAAAAGACTCGTTAGACATGAACTTGATTGACGCAAAGTAGAATTTTTCTCTGAATCAACCTTCTGGAAACAGTTCATAGGTGACGTGAATCAGGGACAGACGCAAAGCTGTTTGCTCTTTTCAGTCTAATAAAGTCTTTTGTTGGAAATTTCAAAAAAGCAAGCCTGTTTTCACATTGGACTACACACACAAAAACAAGAAACATTGGCTTCCGAACAGACAAAAAATTTATCCTTTCTATTTTTTGCATAATTCAGGAAAGTGAGACAATTTATCAATTTTATTTTCCTAATTAATTTCTCATGCCATCATTTACAAGACAAGACAAACACTTTTTTTTTATGCTAACATTCGATCATCCTTACAGGTTTACTATATCACTATAAGAATGAATCCGAACCCATATGATGGTAGCCATGGATTATTTCCTTGGTCTAATGATACTAATTTTCTCTCACCAGCCTATGTCATACATTGTTGAAGCTAAAATCAGTGGCTTCAGCGTTGAACTAATTCATCACGACTCCCAACTATCTCCGTTCTATAATCATTCTGCCACTCCTGGAGAGTTGTCAAGCTATGATGCTTTGCGATCTATTGCCCGAATCAACCACTTTCGTCCATCATCTGTTGATGGAGAAAAAATTGAGTGTGATAATTCCAAATGGTGGTAGCTATCTCATGAAAATTTCTATTGGCAACCCACCAGTTGAAAGTCTAGCCGTTGCTGACACAGGAAGTGATCTTGTGTGGATCCAGTGCGCACCTTGTGACAATTGCTATGCTCAAGATAGTCCCATCTTTGATCCGGTGAAGTCTTCTACTTACATGGATCTTCCTTGTGACTCAAGTTCTTGTCAAGCTCTACCAAGTTCTCAGTGTGGCACTACAAATAATGAATGCCAATACAGATATAGGTATGGAGATAGATCATATACCATTGGAGTCCTATCCACAGATACCTTCACATTTGATTCCACGAATGCTCGGGCCACTGCATTTCCAAATTCTGTATTTGGATGTGGACACAACAATAGTGGAACTTTCACTAGCCGTGGCTCCGGACTTGTCGGTCTCGGGGGCGGACCCCTGTCGCTGATTTCTCAATTGAGTGCTGAAATTGAGCAGAAATTCTCGTACTGTTTGTTGCCAAGGACAGCGAACTCCGCCAGTAAATTGAAATTTGACGAAGTCACAGCCACGGGACTCGAGTTCAAGCACTTTCTACTCTCTCACCCTTGAAGCCGTAAGCATAGGGAGCAACAGGATACCATACAATCAGATGGAGGGTAATATAATTATTGATTCAGGATCAACATTGACTAGTTTGGAGTCAAATTTTTACAGTGAACTTGAAGCCGCGGTGAAAGAAAGCATTAGTCTAAACACAGTACAAGATCCACGGGGAAACTACAGATTGTGTTATGATTCAACTTCCTTCAGTACGGCTCCTGAGACACCAATACTTTTCCAATTTACTGGAGCTGACATTACTTTGAAGACAATTAATACCTTCGTAGTTTTGGATGGTATTACTTGCTTGGCAATCATCCCTTCAAATGATCTCAATATCTTTGGTAACGTTGCTCAGATTAACTTCCAAGTGGGCTACGACCTTGCAAAAAAGCAAGTCTCTTTCGCTCCAGCAGATTGTACTCAATATTAGTGGCCATGTCATGCATATGCATTAAGTTTCTTTTATCCATATTGTCTGAAAAATAAAGAGAGATTGTGTAGTTGTTTTCCCAATGAAATGTTAGCGATTGGTCATATAATATTGAGTAATACTATTTGGATTGCAAATTTGTCCTCTCTCTCTCTCTCTCTCTCTCTCTCTACATATATATATATATATATATATATATATATATATATATATATTTGTTTTTATAGAATTACATGTTGTACTACCATATAGTTCAAAATAATTTTACATATCCGTAAGTAGAATTCAGTAACTAGTAGTTGGTAAAGTATAATTATTTGGCTAAAATTGATTGTTGGTATTTGTTTCATGAATTGTGTAGCAATATTTGTTCTATTTAACTCCTCAAGTAGCTTGGATATAGCAAGATTGCAAAACTTATTAACCCGAAAACCCAAGTTCGTTTCTCATAGATGAGACTTTGTTTACTAAACACGGACTGCTTGTGAACATTTTAACCACAAATTCAAAGAATATTTATTGTTGGGATGACACTTTGACAGCCATCCAAAAAGAAACAATTGTCTCGTATATCTTTTCATGTTGTCTTTGGTACTCACACTTATTAATTATCACTTTTAGTAGTATCCCTAAGTGGGTTTGTAAGAGCAATTACTAAAAACACATCTTCACATATATTAATAATAAGAGTCTTTTAATCCCAAGGAGTAGTTCAAGTAGTAACAGAGATTTGAGTTTGAATCTTGACAACCTTTTAAACCAAGGTCATGAGGTACTCTAATCTTAGTGTGAATGACCTACATTTGAACGAACTGAGAAAGAGATTAGTTGAAATACGCGTAAGTTGATTTGAATACACCTAACTATTAAACTAAAAAATAATAATAAGGGCCTCTCTAAGAACGGCCTCTCTTAGTTGCATAATCAGCCTTTGGCAATAGATGAAATAATATACAAGAATGGCATTCATAGTATCCCGATATTATTTATTTTGTATCCCAAAAAAAAAAAAAACAAAGTAGATATGTTTATATTTTGCGAGATCAAAGCTGCTTCTACTATTTGAAAACTAAGTATTGTCATCATCAATAAGCTCTATCTTATTCTACTTCACTTTTCCATGATTATTCCAATTTCCAACGCATTAATTGTCAAGAAATATCCTATTATCATAAGAGCGATATTACAAAATTCAAATGATTTCTAAAAAATTGTAACTCAAATGCATATTATCCTTTATATAAGTTAGGGGTGACAACTTGGGCGGGGCCAACCCGAATTTAACTTGAGTTCAACTCGAAAAAAATAAGGTTTGGGTTAGGATTTTTAATACTTAGGTTGGACTTGGGCAAAAAAATCTCAACCTGAATTGAATTTGGGCAAGCCTCGGGTTGAGGCCTTAACCCGAATATTAAAATCGGGTTGAACCCAAATTATTAAGTCGGGTTAAACCCGAATATACATAAATATATTTAACTAGAGTTAGTATTTATCTTCACTCTTTAGAGTTCAGACTTTTACTTCACTTCAACTCTTCACCCTTGCACCTCCATCACTCTGAGAGACCTCTTTCACTTGTCATTATTCCTTTTCTTAGCCTCCCTCCCTCTCTCACTCATCACTCCTCCATTTCTCACTTGTTACTCCTCTCTCTCTTTATCTACGCCTCGCCTTTCATCTCAGATCACTTGAAAAAATCAGATATACGCTTGAAAAATTAAATTTACACTTCAAAAAATTAACCAGAATTAAGTAACCCAAGCAAACTAGATTTTTAACCCAAAATCAGCCCAAATTAAGTAATCCGAATTCAATTCGAGCCCGCCAGAATGAAAATAGAATAGTGGTGGAATGAAATGTGTGTATGAGTGAACAACAGTGCCCCCAAAGCGTGGAGAGACTTTCGAGTGTCGTGTTTTACTTGGAATGAGTATTTCAAAGTCGTCTCCTCAAGGAAGGAGGTGAATCGTGTTGAAGGTGATTTTGGTAAAAAGAAAAATGTAAAAATCTTTTGTTGTTTAAGGGTTGTGATTTGTATCTTGATGGTATTTAAATGAGAAAAACAAATGTTGGCTAATTCGAAAGGTTCACTCCAATGGGAATGTCAAGTTAACTCGAAATCTTCCTTCAATGGTGCATAGATGTTCGATTGATTCGTGGAAAGTGAGGGACGAGATGGAAGTAAGGATCCAAGCATAACCCGTGACAAGTTTATGGGATATCAAAGACTCACAATTACATCCACACTTAACCCAGTCAAACCGAACCATCTTACACTGAGAAAAAGAAAGAAAAAGAGTTGAAATGACACATCCAAGGGGAGGTCTCCCTTGTATTAGCCAACTTAAAAGCTTAGCTACTCATAATGCAAGTAAGAACATAAACACAATGAAGAGACATTATAAGAAATGAAGCTTGGAACTTAAACTAATGTAAGAAAACACAAAACTATATAAAAGTGTATTTAATACCCATTTGAAAAGCTTTGAGATTAAAACTTAAATGCATTAATTGTGAAAGCTAGAATGAGAGACTAAACTTGAAATGAACTTGCATTCAATGACATTGAAGACTTTAAACAAAAACTTAAAAGATCCTTACAAGAGATTACAAGACAATGTATTTAAGAAAATGCAAAAATATTAACTTCTCTCTCTAATACTATTCATCTTCTTCCTTGGACTCTCTCTCTCTCTATATTCTAATGTATCTCTCTCTAATGCTGAATAATGGTGAAGGAGCTTGCCAAAAACGTTCAGGGAGCCCTCCTCTAGCTGTGTGATGTGATTCCAATCAATAGGGGGGGGGCTGAAAGGGATGGGTTGAATAGGCTAGTGCACGCATAACCTGCACACTCACCATCTTCTTTCTCCTCTCACCTCATTAATGTCCAAAGCTCCAAAAGTCCAAGCATGAGTGTATGAGGGGATGTTCTGTGTGTAAGGCATGTCAGGGACAAGTGGGAGAGTGTTTGGTGGGACCCCTAAAGTTGCAAAGCTTTAGATGCAAATCTAAGCTATTTCAGCAAAACCTACTAGTAGGTTGATGAAAACCTACCGGTAGGTTTCACTCCAGTCAGCAAAACCTATCAGTAAGTGCAGGTCTAGTAGCTAAAAGCTACCGGCAGGTTTTTCCTTGTTTTGCAAAAATCTTGGTTTCTCCACCTTTCAAGTAAACATCAAACCTCCACTTCATCTCCAATCAATTCAAGCATCATGATAAGGCCTAAAAGGCACCATTTGAACCCCTTTTTTTCTGTAAACATATCAAAACTCCATTAAATGTTTGAAAAGTGCTATTCCACTCATTTTAACCACAAAATTAACTGTAACAAGACTGTAGATGCACATAAAATATGCAATTTTTTGCGCTAATCAGTACTTGAGTAATGGGGTAACGGTACACTGAACCTTTATTTTCCCAGTTCCTTCTAGTAGCTAAGTACCAGTACCTAGGTGACAGAGAACGGGTACTTAAGCCCATTGTTTGCTAGGTACCAGTACCTACATATCGTAATATCGGGACCTAAGCCCCTGCCTATAGAGGTACCGGTACTATAGCCTTAATACCGGTACTTGAGCCCACTGAAATTCAAATACTGACACCCGTATGTTGAGGTACCAGTATCTGGCCTATCCAACAATGTGGTATGGTACTTAATCACTTAGGTACTGGTACTTGGGCCCAGATTTTCTCCAATTCTTTCAAATTTTCAATCTTTAGCCATCCAATCTCTTTGCAAACACATCCATACATTCATTAACACAAATTATATTCCATGAGAGTCCATTTTCAAAACTCTTTACACCAATTTACAAGTTCAAAATGAATTACACAATTTATTTACAAAATGTAATTCAAAGTCACATCTT